GCTGACCCACAAGCGCCCTCTCCTCCCCCAAATCTTACTGACCCCTGCATGCCCTCTCTGACACTTCCACAACTTTGACGGATTCAAGGACTAGGGCGATGAATGTCTCAAAGTCCTGTCGTATTTATTTCCAAGTATCTTTCTTTCCTATCCACTTTATCGAGTTATCCTTTTCATAAAACTCATCCATTGGAAGTCTACAGTGCAATGATTTTAGTAAAGTTATATCACCACCATCCAGTCTTAGGACATTTTCATCAGCCCAGAGGGTTCCCTCGTGCCCTGGTAAAGTCAGCGTCCACTCCCCCTCCCGCCCGCCCCCAGCCCGCACAGCTGCCTTCTGTCCCTGCGCCTTATAGACTTGCTGCAAGTGGAACCATACAGCATGTAGTATCTCGTGTCTGGCCCTCTCATTCAGCACAGTGCTTCGGAGATTGTCCACGTCGTTGCGTGTCTTTGTGATTAGTTCCTGCTTATTGCTGAGGAGTGTCGTTGGGCAGATATACTACATCTGGTTTATGCATTCACCAGTGGACAGACGTTTTTTGGATGGTTTTAGTTTTGTCCATTGTGACCAATGCTACCATGAACATTTACGTAAAGGCGTTTGTGTGGACGTGTGTTTTCATCTTTCTTGGGCACATTCCTAGAAGTTGCCAAATATCTTTTGGCTATTACAAAGGAAGCTGCTAGGAACATTCGTGTACAAGTTCCTGCATGAAAGTAAGTTTTTATTTCTCTGAGTTAAATGCTCAAGAGTGCAATGTCTGGGTCTTAGGGTGAGTCCATTTGTCATTTTGAAAGGAATTACCCAACAATTTTTTAGAGTGGTTGTACCGTTTACCTTCCCGCCAGCAACATATGAATGCTCCAGTTTCTCCGCGTCCCTGCCAGTACTGGGGTTACCGCTGTTTTTCTCCTCATCCATTCTGACATGTGTGTGGTGACCCAACTGTCTTTGGGATCCATGCCCTTTTGTCCACACCCTCCTCTCCACACTAGAATTCGTCACGTCCTGCCTGGACCACTGCAATAGCTTCTTCTACTGGCCTCTCCGTTGCCACTTTTGACCCAGAACCTCTGGTCTCTAAGATCAACCTCAGTAACCTTTCTGAAATCACAAAACAGATCACGCCACTCTCTTACTTAAAGCCTCTAAAATCCCACCATTGCTCCAGCTCCTCCACTGCCGTGTGTGGTCTGTTTCCCACCCACCTCTTCACCTTCACCTTGACCTTGAACCATTCTACCCCCTCCAATTCACCATGCTCCAGCCACACTGTCAATAATTGCTGTCAAATGACAAGTTCCCAACCCAGGGCCTTTGCACATGCCTCCTTCCCTTCCCCTCCTTTCAGGAGACAGCTTAGGTTCAGCCCCAGCAGGGGCCTGCACTCTCTTCTTCTTCCCCAACATTGCTCATCATAATTCACACTTCTGTGTCTACTTGTATATTTATTTGCTTAATGGCATATCCCCAAATGGGCTTTTCATCCCAAGGACAGTGACCTGTTCCATCCAGTCCATGCTGTGTTGCCTGGGCCTGGGGTTGTGAACAGGGAAATGTCTTCAAATGGGCAAGACCAAACCTTTTGGGATGATGAAGCTATTCTAAATCTGAATTGAGGTAATGGTCGCATAACCTATAAATTTACTAAAATCAATGATTGTGCACTTACAATGGGGTGAATTTTATGTAAATTACATTCCCAAGCCATCACACTGCCTGGCACCCAGCCCTGAAGAATTGCCAAAGGAATGATTGAATGAATATTTAATTGCTTAGGAGGCTGGCATCTCTTTGGAGAAACATTACTCTTTTGTCTTGAGAAGACGTTAATGGACCTCTTGGGTCTGCAAATCCTAAACCCTCTCCTAGAATGGAAGAATACAGGCCCAGGAGGAGGTAACCTCACTGCACAGCGATGTATGTGCTGGACCTTTTCTTGTTTCTTCCTGTTTTATTTTCCCTGAAAGTCTTCGATTATCAGACTATTGATTCTGTTTTGTTTGCTTGTTTGTTTTTATAATTCTCTTATCATCTGCACCCCCGGGAGTTCGGGTTGGAAAGTGAGAAGTGAGGTTGGGAAGAAGAGGACTGACTGGGGCTGACAGCAGGACTGTGTTCCAATAAAACTTTATTTACAAAAACAGGCAGCAGATGAGATTTGGCCCACTGGCTGTAGTTTGCAGACCTTTGTCCTAGAAGTCTAATTTACAGCCACTTTCTGCAGCCCACCTGCAAACTGATTCTTTTTTCGGTCTTCATTCTAAAGCCCAGGGCCCTGAATCCCGGAGAAGAGAGCTGCTTGCATGGAATTCCACAGAGAAGACAGGACAGCCCATGTGAACAGCTCAGCCCCAAGGTACTTCTGGCTGAAGGGTCATGCGTGGGTGTCAGGGAAAAAGGCCGGGGAGGGAAGGGACAAGGCTGCTCGGGAGACAGTGACGGAGTCACTTTTTCTGGCTGGTTTGGGGTGAAAGGCTGATGGGGAGCGAAGGTCTAGGCATCCAGCCTCAGGCCCAGGACCCCCCAACCCCGAAGTCTGGACTCTTTGGGACTGCCAGCTGGCCAGGGCTCCACCCCCACCCACCAGGTGAGGCACCGTACCTGGGCCCAACAGACGTCCTGCCAGGGGGGCTGCAGTCTCCTCCTCCTCGTCCACTTTTCTCAAGACCAGCGCAAAGAAAGCAGCGAATCCCAGCACCTGAAAAAGACCCAGGGGCACCCCACGCCCACACTGGTGACTCTCACTGCCTGGTCCCAGGGCGGCGGTTACGAAGAGTGAGCACTAAGGCCCTTGTGCTCTGCACTGGGCCACCACCCAGACAGAGGGGCCAGTGAGTCCTTGAAGTCCCCAAGCCTCCCCAGCTGCTGCTCGCCTGACCGAGGTCCCCCATCTCTCAGCAGGGAGCATCAGCCACCGCGCCTAGCATGACCATAACTCCTTAACCTCAAGTTTTCTCACCTATAAAATGGAGGTAAGAATCCCAAGGCTGGTGGTGACTATGAAATGCCAGTATCCCAGTAAAACATTAAGCTTGGGTTATTAGAGCAACTGGCTTATTATACTTCCTGGCCCAGGGGCTACACAGAGGTGGTGCTTCCATACGTTTGTTGAATGAATAAGTGAATGAACGTCCAAAGCCCAAGGACAAGACTGTTAGCCGGAAGGAAAGGGCGAGCAGACATGAGGAGGGCAGCCACATGGGGTGGGGTTCTGACCTTTAGGGGCTGAGTGACGAACACGCTCTCCACGAAGGAGACAGCCATGGAGAGGAGCCACCTGAGGGAGCTGGCCCGCCCATAGTGCAGGCCGTAGAGCATGGTGAAGAAGGCGGCCACACCACTGGTGGCCGCCACCAGGAGCCAACCCACCAGGACACACCACCAGGGCAGGCCGCCAGGGGGCCTGCTCAGCCTCAGGGCACTGCAAAGGAAGGTGGACGGACATAGTGAGTGTGGTCCCAGCGGGCTTGAGGTCAGATCCCACTCTGCCCCCACCAGCTGCTTGATCTTGGCCAATCTCCTGGGCCTCTCAGACCCTCTGTTTTCTCCTCTGTAACCTGTACCTACCTCGAAGGGCAATTCTATTATCTACTGAATGCAAAAGCAGTCATATTTGTTCCATGCTTACTAGGGGCCTGTCCTTGTGCTAGCTGCTTTGTACAGATTGGCTCTGTTATTCCTCATGGCAAGCCTAGAAGGCTGGCACTATGTCATTTTTATGAGGTTTTTACTATGAAAATTTCTCATCATGCA